TTCTCCAGTCGTGCTTGAATTTTTCGATCAAGCCGAATTTCAGCCTGATCATGCGTCGTGTAGTGTAGAGGGGGGAACGAGGGGCGATCAGCCTCTCACGACCACCTCTCCATCAGGAATAATACGGTCGGCCGTCATAAGGTCACATCAGACCGTCGGGTCGCACAGTGTGCATCATGAGCTGTAAACTTTTAAATCCTGCAGTGTTGCATAGTAACGAAGTAAAAATACTTCACTACTGTACTTAAGTATATTTTGGAGTACTTTATACTTTCCAAGAGTATACATTTTTTTGAGAACTTTCACTTTTACTTCACTACATTTACAAACTTAATTGCATACTTTTACTCCGATACATTTTCAATGTTTGGTTTAGTTACTAAAGTAAAAAAAAAAAAAAAACGAGCCAGAGAGCGAGAGAAACGCAAATATTTTGACCCACCTACTGACTACAAAGTCTGGTCTTGCCTGGGCTTGTTCATCAACACCAATAGGATACACCTGTTTCGCAAAGCTAGTCTAAATTTATCCTACACTTGGTTTTGTATATCATTATAAGTGAATTTAACCTTCAAAGTTTACCAAAATGTATATATGTATATTCAACCTGCACTTACTTTTTACTTATACTTTTCACTACATTACTTCAGTACATCTATTTTTACAGTAATTCTTATACTTAAGTACAAGCCATTTCAGATACTTTAAGACTTTTACTCAAGTAACATTTTAGTCAGTGACTTGGACCTTAACCAAAGTCATATTTTGGAGAGGTACTTATACTTTTACTTGACTCCGAGATTTCAGTACTTTATACAACACTGAAACCCTGTGGTTTCATAGAAAATCTAGCAGTAGATCCTGCAAACACATACTGATCTCATTGGGAATGATATGTAGGCTTACGAGGGTTTAGTAGCTTCCAAAGCCATGGTGAACGCTGGCTTTATGTCACAGTAAATAACAGCTTTTAGAGACTTCACTTCTGATGATACTTTTTGATACATGGTGGCTACTGTTACCACAATACGTGTTTGAGACAGTTACACACCAGGGTGTAGTGTTCGTTTGAGTAAAATGTCCCCCGTTTCACCACTAGATGGCAGTTATTCCTATACATTACCTCTTTAAAGTTTAGCTTTAAGCTATATTTGTGGTATTTTGAGTTTCTTCCTAGAGAAATATTTACCTTATATCGTATGAATTTGCGCAATAGGTTTTTATGAGAAAAGTTTAATGAGTGTTATTAGAAATAATTCAAATCTGTTACCTAACTATTGTTATAAGTTAGGTTTAGGTTTGTTTTTCGTATAGAAGTTCATACCACTGCTGTGGAGTCAGGAGTTTTCAGTTCCTCTGTCTTTTGGCTGAGCTGACTCACTTTTGTTTCCAGCATTTTGTAAGCGTTGCATGGAAGTTATTTTTATTTCCAATTCTGCTTTTGTTTTATACATATCAAAGGAGGAAACTCAGGCCACCGACTTTAAAACAATACAGACAGTAAAGGAATACGTGGAATGCCATAACCAAGTGGCTGGTACTGTGTACAGAAACATCTGTGCAGAATATAAACTGAAGGTCCCCAGGTCACTATAGGAGCCACCTCTCAAGGTGGTGGAGAATGACACAGCTAAGATCCTTTCACAGTGTTAGGAGTCCTGTCTGTGTGTTTTGTGTGTTTGTCTTCCTTCCTCCACCAGGCGGCGCCTGGTCCTGATTTCACCTCCTCACACATCTGCTGATGGTTTCCTCGTTAACGGACTGCTATTAAGCTGCTGACTGCCACTACCTCGATGCCAGATTGTTTGCCAGTTTTGGGTACTCTAGCCAAGCTGAGTTTCGCTGGGTCTGAGTTGTTGAGTTTTGAGTTTTAATCTTGCTATTTTTGTCTTTGCCTCTTGGCAGGAAGTCATTCTGCAAACTGGACTTTTCTGACCTTCTCTCCCTGGAAGGATCTACTGAGCCTTTAGGTGAGCTGGGGATTCAAACTGGAGGTTTGGATCCACTTTTCTCCAAGGGATCGTTTGAGTTTCACACTGAGCAAGGGATTCATCTGCACCACAGTCCGTTTAAGTACCGCAGGAAATCTGAGTGGCAGTCAGCATCTCTGTTCTCCTACAAACAACCGCATTCTGGGTAAACCCTGTCCGCCCTCCCCCGAATGAGACAAACACTGGAACACCCCACACCGACTGGAGTCAAAGAGTCAACAACTTTTCTGAAAACGTGAGTCTGCAAACCTTTTCTCCTCTTCAAGTTCGAGAATCTATTTTCCCATTGAACCTGAACTAAGCGCAGGGTCTTCCCCTCACCTTTCAGTTCTGGTTGAGCAGTGTTCAGAGCAACACTGGAATCTCCACAAGCTTCTCAATAAACCTGTTAAACTTTTTCCCTGGTCTCTCTGTAATGGTTTCTCTGCATTTGGATCTGATCTTTAGTTAAATCATGACACACAGACAACCTCACCCGGACTATAAACACCACCTCACTGGTCAAAACGGCACAAAAGCACATGTACTTCCTGCGGAGGATGAGGAGAGCTCACCTGCCCCCACCCATCCTCACCACCTTCTACAGAAGCACCAAAGAGAGCGTTCTGACCAGCTGTCTCACTGTGTGGTGTGGAGGCTGCAGCGCCTCAGACTGGAAGAAGGTGAGAAGAGTGGGGAGAACAGCAGAGAGGATCATGGGGGCTCCTCCTTCCTCCATTAAAGACATTTCATCCCAGCGCTGCGTGTCCCAAGCCCGTAGGATCATCAATGACCCCTCACCCCCCCACCATGGACTGTTCTCCCTGTTGCCCTCTGGGAAGAGGCTTCGCAGCATTCAATGCAGGTCCAGCAGATTCCAAAACAGCTTCTTCCCCACCGCCATCAGACTGCTGAATGTTGAAACAACTCTAAATCATATCGCAGACTCTGCATTACACTGATAACACCAAAACCAAAAATACTGCATATTTGCACCATATATATATATATATATATATATATATAAATGTATTAATGCTCTGAACTTCCATATGCATTTTTTCTCCCAAACTGTCTACGTTTGATCACTGCTGCACTTTATGGAATGGAAATGTTCATTTACTGTCTGAAAGCAGTACTAATATACACTCTGTATACAAAATTACAATAAAAGTTGTCTAAGTCTAATCGTGTGGGACTTCCAGATACAAGCAAACAAAATGGAATAATAATGCCTGTGGTCATCAGAGATTTTTCCCAAATATATTTAAAAATGATTATTTTTCAGTTATATGCTAATTAAACTTGTCTTGGATGTCCCTGGAAATTTCCTTAGGCTATATTAGGCAGATTAGGCAGAAATGGCCATAAAAGTCCACAATAAATGTGTCAATATTCCTCCATACTGTTCGTCCAATGTATTCCAAGTGTCCTGAGTGGGTAGCGTCCATAATTTACTCGAAACGAAGTCATTTAGAATGTTTTTAGAGCATAAACAGTAGTGTATAGGATTTCCTAAAAGCACGTTCACGAGTCTACGGAAACCGCGGCAGACCAAACCAGATGAAAGTGCGCATTCAGCTCGGCAAAGAACTCATGCTCTTCCTCAACACTGAAGTCCTCAGGTAAACAGCACATTTCTTCTTCTACGCTTGCATTATCGGCAGAGCAGACGCTGAATGCGCACTTTCATCTGGTTTGGTCTGCCGCGGTTTCCGTAGACTCGTGAACGCGCTTTTAGGAAATCCTATACACTACTGTTTATGCTCTAAAAACATTCTAAATGACTTCGTTTCGAGTAAATTCTGGACGCTACCCACTCAGGACACTTGGAATACATTGGACGAGCAGTATGGAGGAATATTGACACGTTTTTTGTGGACTTTTATGGACCTTTCTGCCTCGGGCGCCATAGACCTCCATTATTTGAATGTCAGCAGACAGCAAGAAGCCTCCCAGATCTCCAGATGCATTTGAGATATCAAAAAAAGTACTCCAGAGTGTTGTTCAGTATGGGGGTGAGTAGAAAATGAAGGGTAATCATGTTTAGGGTGTACTATTCCTTTAAGCTATTTATTTTAAAAATATAAATGGTAACGTCATATTAAATGTTGCATTAGAAGGCTAAAGAAGCCTATTTCCGTCACTCTGTAAAAGCATAAAATAAAGTATCTCATTATAATGAGATAGTAACTCAAAATAATGAGATATTATCTAATTATAATAAGATAGTAACAAAAAAAATAATAAGATAGTGTTAGTTATTTTGAGACAGTAGCTCATTATAATGAGATAATATAATTGACTTTATTTAACAGAGTGGCAGAAATGTATGGAAGAGGATTAGGGCCACTGGGGGGAAAAAAAGTTAACTGATTTTTAAATAATATTTCAGTTTAATATAGGAAAAAAGTCAGAATATGGACTTTAATCTCAGAATTCGGACTTTTTTCTCAGGATTTGAACTTTAATCTCAGAATTTTGACTTTAATCTCAAAATTCTGACTTTAATCTCAGAATTATGGATCTTAATGTAGATGGGCACCATGAAGTAAGAGATGTGGAAGCACTAAGTTTCACTGGCAAAGATGTGAGTTGTTTGGGAGGAACAGTGACACATTGATGGAAAATGACGGAGTTAGGCGACTTTCTACGTCCCTGAGGGGTTTCCGGTGATGCCATTTCATTAATTAATGAAAGGAGCAGAAGGGGATTAAAACAAGAGAGCTCGTCTCTAAAACAGACATGGCTAACATGCTAACATGGTTTTTAGCTGTCAGAATTAATTTAGAATTGTGAGATTAAAGTCAGAATTCTGAGATTAAAGTCAGAATTCTGAGAAAAAGTCAGAATTGTGAGATTTAAGTCAGAATTATGACTTTTTTTCTCATGTTATACTGAAACAAATAAAAAAAAAATAAGTTTTTTATTTTTGTTTTTCAATTTTTTTCAGTGGCCCTAATCCTCTTCCGTAGAAATGGGCTTCCAAAGACGACTCTTCAGGTTTAGGAATGAATTTTCCCTAACCCCGCCCAAACGCCACGTCAAAAATCGAACCCGTGCGCACAAACGAGCGCACCCCGTGAACACACCGACTCTCCGCCTGTGAATGAAATAAACAAAGAGCCGGCCACTTTTTGGGACTATAGCCACCGATTCACGAGCTTCTTGGAAACATGGACACCGGTAGGTTGGAGGCATTTTGTCCCACTCCTGTCGTGTTGGTGTTCTTTCTCCAACTCGCCAAAACAAGCGCCTCTGTCGCATATGAACTGTGGCCAGTGAGGGAGCTAACAGGCTAAGTTAGCTTCAGTCCGCTAGCAGCATGCCGGGGCAGTGACTAGCTAGACTCTACCTAGTTCCTAGTTCTGGCTGCGGAGCTGACAGCTAATTTAATCAACCACCAAGAATGGTACAAACATCCAGACCGCAGTTATAAGCAGCTAATTAGACTTAAACTCAATGTTTGGAGTTAACAGCTACAGGAAATGCAATGCTATCCGCCAAACAAGCTAGTCCAAAATGGACCTGTCAAACTCTTTGAACTTCTCATGTATTTCACAAGGTTTGTCTTTATAGTGAAAATGTGCTTATTTATATTTTATCAGTGGTTTTTTTATGTTTTAGTATAAAAAAATCAAATTGATTAAAATCTTTTAGATTATTTTTTTAAATTTATGGATACTTCGTTGTGTAACTGACCAATAATGCTTTCCTCTTTTAAACACCTTTTCATCTCCGTTTTACTGCTTGATTTTAGTGATCTGCCCTTTGTGATGGGCGGCATCATAAACTGTTCAGCTATAAAACCTTTTGATGTGTGAATTTTGCAAGTCGCTCCTGGCTGCCAGTGCTTTATTATTATTTTAATTCACATGAAAAGCCAGTTTGCTGCCAGCACTCATCATTCTTACATTCGTTTGTTGAATAACAGGTTAACCAACCTTACCAGCAAACTAACTGGTTCACTGTTAGATTTCTCCCCATAGAGTCAGCCTAGTTTCAATATAAACAGTTGTAACTTTAAGCTGTGTTTTTATTTTATGAATGGATGCTGTCATATCTACTATTTTCCCACCTTATCTGCCAGTTGTAATCAGGTTCCATGTTTACATCCATTCATACATACTCCTCAGAGGCAGAGGAAGATATTTTCTCCCTCAGGTCTGTGTTTTATTAGAGAATTGTGGATTTAAGTTGATGAATTTTTGACATTATTCTTCTGGTCGCTGCCTTTCAGCTTTTATGTCGACAGAAAATGGCCTTATGCAGCCGATGGAGGGTGGAATCCTGGGGGGCATGCATGACAAAGCAATGTCCCGTTCAGTGTTTAATTACTCTGCACTATTATTGGACAAGACTGCAAACCCCAACCTGGTGCTAGTTCGATTCAGTCAGTGTGTTTGTTGCCTGAACTCCTTAGTTTCCCGTCCAGCAGGAACCAGACCGGCTTCCCACTGTGTTCCTCCTACAGATGGGGCTCAGGAACGGTTCGGGGGCCACCTCTGATTGGCTTGTCTCTCCAACTATCTCTGCTATCCTTTCAGAGCTTCACTTTTATGTAGGTTTTGTTTGCCCAGTGGTTCCCAAAGTGGGAGCGGGGCCAGTAGGGGGGGACCCACGTGTAATTGGTTGCGTTTCCATCAATATTATTCTAAAGTATTGCATCAGAAAAGCTTGAAGGAAGAGGAAAAATTTGAAAAAAAAAACAACTCTTAAATTTGGTTAATAATAAAGGGTTAAATCGCAAAACAAGGAGAAGACACCAAAATGAAGGCAGCATTTTTGTTATTTAAAAAAGATTTTAGTGTATTTAATTAGTTGAGATATTTTTAGTGCAAATGACTTTTTTTTGGGTCGGCTGCTGAAAAGGTTGGGGAGAGTACGAAAGAGGATGGAAAAAAAAAAAGTTAACTGATTTTTAAATTTTATTTCAGTTTAGTATGGGAAAAAAGTCAGAATTCTGACTTTTTCTCAGAATTCTGACTCTTTTTCTCAGAATTCAGACTTTTTTTCTCAGAATTCAGACTTTAATCTCAGAATTCAGACTTTAATCTCAGAATTCAGACTTTTTTCCTTTTTTCTCTGAATTCTGACTTTTTTCTCTGAATTCTGACTTTTTTCTCTGAATTCTGACTTTTTTCTCTGAATTCTGACGTTAATCTCAGAATTCTGACTTTTTTCTCTGAATTCTGACTTTTTTTCTCTGAATTCTGACTTTTTTTCTCTGAATTCTGACTTTTTTTCTCTGAATTCTGACTTTTTTTCTCTGAATTCTGACTTTTTTTCTCTGAATTCTGACTTTTTTTCTCTGAATTCTGACTTTTTTTCTCTGAATTCTGACTTTTTTTCTCTGAATTCTGACTTTAATCTCAGAATTCAGACTTTAATCTCAGAATTCAGACTTTTTTCCTTTTTTCTCTGAATTCTGACTTTTTTCTCTGAATTCTGACTTTTTTCTCAGAATTCAGACGTTAATCTCAGAATTCAGACTTTAATCTCAGAATTCAGACTTTTTTCCTTTTTTCTCTGAATTCGGACTTTTTTCTCTGAATTCTGACTTTTTTCTCAGAATTCAGACGTTAATCTCAGAATTCAGACGTTAATCTCAGAATTCAGACGTTAATCTCAGAATTCAGACGTTAATCTCAGAATTCAGACTTTAATCTCAGAATTCAGACTTTTTTCCTTTTTTCTCTGAATTCTGACTTTTTTCTCTGAATTCTGACTTTTTTTCTCTGAATTCTGACTTTTTTTCTCTCAATTCTGACTTTTTTTCTCTGAATTCTGACTTTTTTTCTCTGAATTCTGACTTTTTTTCTCTGAATTCTGACTTTTTTTCTCTGAATTCAGACTTTAATCTCAGAATTCTGACTTTTTTTCTCTGAATTCTGACTTTTTTTCTCTGAATTCTGACTTTTTTTCTCTGAATTCTGACTTTTTTTCTCTGAATTCTGACTTTTTTTCTCTGAATTCTGACTTTTTTTCTCTGAATTCTGACTTTTTTTCTCTGAATTCTGACTTTTTTCTCTGAATTCTGACAATAAAAAAAGTAAGAATTCTGAGATTAAAGTCTGAATTCTGACTTTTTTCCCATACTAAACTGAAATAAAATTTAAAAATCAGTTTTTTCAGTAGCCTCTTTTTTCAGTCCTCTTCTGTAGGGAAAGGGAGTTGGTAATCAGGGGGATGTGAAAAATATAAACATATTTTAATATTTTAAACAAAGAGGGGGCTAACTTGGATCTAGATATCTGCAAATCCTGATATTTTTCTTAAACCACCTCTGATTGCTTTGATTTGATCATAATTTATGCTAATTCTTTTTTTTTATTTTTTATTTTTTCAAAGAAACTGTCAAAAACTCCAAAAAAAAAACAAGCCTGATATGTATAAATTCGACAAGGTAGCTTCAGGTAAGTAAAAGATCAGAAAAGGAGGCCATAAACACAATGAAGCAGTAAATCATGTTATGGGATAAATTCGCCCCAAAGAAATATCAGTTGTAAGGCTTCAGACCGACTGTATTTAATACATCAAAGACAGCTGAACTTAAAGGGTACATTTTTCATTTAACTTTGATTATTTTAGAAACAGACAGAATAGATCAGCCCCTATGGATTAGGTGCGTATCTATCCCAAAGAGGCATTTCTGTTGTTATGTCAGGTGGAGAATGTGTGGGCAGCAGTGTTGCGTCAAAGAGGTGTGGATTTCCAGCTATTGATCCAATGTTTTCCAGGAATGATTGTGGCCTCAGTCGGTGAGTGCTTTTAAGTTGGATCTCAAATGGGAAGAGTGTTTAGCCTAAAGTGCGCCGACGAGTTTCAAAGACGAGAAGTTCCATCTCTGCTTAAACAGTCTTATTCTCTAATGACTCAATCAACTTTTCCCTTCCTCCCTCCTGCTTTCAGTGCCGTCGGCCAATCCTGACTTTCCGTCTCTTTTTTTTTTTTTTTTATTGAAGGTTTGAGTCCAGAAAAAGTGGCCAGCTTTACAAAGCGCCTGCGCTCTGAACCACGCTACCTGTTGGCCCAGAATGTGTCCACCTGCATCGACCCTTTGGAGGTTTGTTTGCACCGACAGACCGTCCAGGATACAGTGCATATCTTTCAGCACTCCATTCCCACGGAAGGCAAGCCTATCACCAACCAGAAAAGCTCAGGTAAGACGCTAACGTTACCTGCCCCATGCAAACCCGACACAGCATGGATAACAGAATTCCAAAAGACGACTACGGTATGTGTGTAAGGTTATTTTCTGTGTTTTATTTATTTATAGTTTATGTGAAAGTTCACATAATATATGACTTATCAAGAAGTGGGGGAAAAAAACATGATACATGATTTTCCCTTTTATAAAAAAAACAAACTCAAATGTTTTGAGTATTTTGTGTTTAGCTTCTCTGTACTGTGATAGCTGTTCTCAGAGTATAGCTGTGTGTCATTTAATATCTGTATAAAATAAGATAAAATAGTTGTATTTTTCTCACAGTGGAGAAATTCACACCTTTCAGAAGGGTAGCACATAAGTCGAATCAAAGAACAACAAAGTAAATGTGCTAAAAACAAGGGTGAATTAATCTTTCAATAGAAACCCAGATATGTTTGATCTGCTGTGTAGTAAATGGTTCAGATGTGTTTAGTTTGTCTCTTGTTTAACCCAACCCCCACCTTTAACCTGATGATGTCACATCCTTGTTGGGATGTGACTTACAGCTAGCTCAAGTTTGTAGTAAGTGGTAAGTCACCTTAGCCTCATGAGACCATCCTGATCTCGCCAGCTTTCAAGGTTTCACTCGCTAATCAGTCTGGCTACTCTCCGTTAAAGAAAATTTGGAGCCGTTCACCAAACGAACGTCCAATCAGCGTTGGCTTTGAGGCGGGTTGAGGTGTAACGCAACGAGAAGCGCGACAGTTCAGTCTAAAGAACATGGCGGCTTCAGCCGATGAAACTAGCGTTAGCGTGGCTATCGAGCAAGTTTTATCGGAATTACAGAGTATTTCTTCACTGAAAGAAGAGCAAAACACTGCTCTGGAGGCTTTTCTCAGAGGAAAAGATGTTTTTGCTCTTCTCCCGACTGGTTTCGGCAAGAGTAGCCTGGCTTGTGGTTGTGTTTTCGTCGTCGCTCTGTTAGTACGTCATATGCTTCGTTGATCTGATTGGTTTATTCGGCCCGTCTATCACCAACACAGGCCAATCAGCTAACCAGTATTTTCGCCCCTTCCCAAAATTACTTCAACGGAAGGTTTCCAGATGGATATGCGGAGCAAATTCATCTGGCGGAGTCAGGTTAAAGTCACCTGTCCTGCAAACAGGAAGCCTGGGTTCATATCCCAGCTGTGGGAATGAGCTGCCAGTGTGGTTTTAAAGGCTTATTTATACTCTGAAACCAGGTCGTCTGCTTGTGTTACAGTTAACACAGATATGCCCCGCCCCTTCCGCGGACACTCTGCTGCACCTCTCCAAAATTGTAGGTGACCGCAGACAGTGCCGCAGACAGGAGGCTTCTGATTGGTCAAATCTACATCCACTCCACACTATGCGTATTTCCTGTTTGGTACCTTACCAGCTTGTTTTGTTTGTATGACCGCCATTGTGGAAAACGACTCGTGAAGTTGGACCAGCTAGAAGAGCGAGGTGCAAGAGAACGCTGGGACCCTTTTCCCACCTGGATTCCCGCTCTTTCTCCCCCTCATGTCCCTCCGTTGTCACACAAACTTGCCCCCACTTCCTCACCGCCTCGGCCGTATCTAGACCCACGGCTAGTTCCTGATTGTCCCTCTTGCGTTGTGGCGTGGAATAACATAGCGCAGACCACGCTTCAATATTGGGCATAAATCAAAATATCTGCGACACACTGCTGCAGGAGGATAACCAGCCCTTTAGTCAAGACCCTTCACGCTAATGCCTGCTTTGGGGAGTGGCGGCCTAGTGGTTAGGATATTGTGCTTGCAATCCTGAGGTTGTGAGTTCAAGCCCCGTTCCCACAGGCTGCCACTCGAGGTCCCTGAGCAAGACCCTTAACCCACTGCTCCCCAAGGTTTTGGGTTAAATGCAGCAAGTTAATTTAGTTGCTCTATACTTGTGACAGCGTAATGACAATATAACACTGGAAAAAATAAAAAATAACGGAGCTAACCATTGCGAATGCATCCGACGGGTCACCCCAATGGTTCACAGATAGATTAGGACAAGAGACTGTTGCTGTTCAGATGACCTGAGCGCTGAGGCAACATGAGCAGCAGCCCGTGGTCTGTTCTAGCAGATTCCTGTCAGGTCCGCACTAACTGCTTTACTGTTGTCTTTTAATAACAGGGAGATGTTGGATCTTCTCGTGCCTCAACGTCATGCGACTTCCCTTCATGAAGAAGTTTAATGTAGAGGAGTTTGAGTTTAGTCAGTCCTACCTCTTTTTCTGGGACAAGGTAATGTACACAATAACATCTCATTATTATTACTGCTACTTAGGGTGTAAATGCAGATTTTTCACATTGCTTTTGGGTTTTTTTTCCCCAGAAACCATCTGCCTGTATAGCAAACTGTTGTAACATCTAATAAGCTAGTTTAACTATCTGGAACTACCATCATAGATACCATAATGACTAATCCAAACTACTGTTACAGATGTATGTAATGTGAATCCAGCTGTTTGGAGCATATGGGCTGTAAATCTCACTGTGACTCCCTCTCTGTGGGGGCGGTGAGAGGTGTGGGGGGGTCAATGAGCAGACAAAGACTATATTTCATGATATTTCTTACTTTTGCCGAGGAGACTGAAGCCCCGTGCCAAGCTTGGATCGGTTAATCGTGCCGAACTCGGTTCCTTACGTCCTACACCACGCTAGCACGGGTCCCGTTCTCCTAGTGTCAATCTATAGTACTACTGCCCTCTAGAGGTAAACAAGCAAATCAACATGGCGGCGTCTGTAACATTCAGGAAGTTTGTGGACAGTCAGGCGAAGAAGGCAGCCTTTGGTGAATTTACTTGACAGAGTCGGCATTTGGGAAGTGGATACGACAAACAATATGCAGGAAACGACAGGAGTTGAGGTTCATCACACTGCTAAGCAGAATCCTCACTGGGAACCATGTGGCACGTAGGGAAACTAGTATTTTTATGTCTGAAATTTCATGATTAAGGAGGATGGCTGTAAGGAGATGACGTGGTCTTCTCATTTGCTCTTTCTTATCTGAAAACTTAGCTAGAATTTAACAGCGCCAAACCCGACTGATGAGCTAGTTCCATGTTAGTGTGGGTCGGTTGTGTCGGGCGCAGTCCGGTTCAGTTTTGCATGCCATTTACACTCAACAGTTATCTCGATTAATGTGCTTGGACCAATCGCAGCACAGTTTCAAAAAGGTAGTGTAAATGGGGCTTATGTCTTTAGGAGAGTTTGTGTGTTTGTTTTTCTGTGTGTAGGAGAGTTTAACGTTTTGTTTTTTTTAATCAGAGGTGTCCCTCATGCCAAAGGAAAAAAAAATCCATAAAATGTTGGTACTGATACAGATTATGATCTGGATACTGGATTTTTTCTTTTATTTTTTTTGTAAAGATGCTCTAACATTGTAAAGGGATAGTTTGTCAGAACAGGCAGTTCCCCACTAAACCAGAGGGTGGCAGCAGTAACTTTTGACAGCTTCAGCATTACTACAGACAAAAACACAAAGAAAGGTAACGTAGTTGGTTTTGTTTGCAGAGTCAACTTATGAACTGATTTTTACTGACATATTTTTACCAGTGCAGTACATCATGGCAGCGAACGATTCATTTAAATGTGGTAATGATCCAAATCATGTGTGCATTTTATCTATAGGTTTAAGTCACAATATGGGGCAAAAGTTGCTGCTTGGCGGAGGTCTGTGTCTCCAAGTGCTTTTTTGTCAATAAATGAACTTAAATTTGATTGATCTTACCAATCAAGTAACAATTAATAAATTTTTATTACTTACAATCTGAGTTAACATGAGTGGCTTAGTATGTTTCTTTTTTTAACAATATGCTAAAGGAATAAATGGTACATCATTGCATTTTACCAATTTATTGTACCAGCTGTATTAAAAACTCACTAAATAAACAAAAAAACTTTCTTGCACAATATTGAACTAGACAGAAGATAACAAAAAAGCAACCTATTAGGTTACTGAATAAAATAAAAAAATAACTAAACAAGTGAACATTTCTGATTTTTTAATTTAATTTTGTCGCTCCAACACACTGTCATGGATGCTAACTGCGATGAAACTCTCTTTTGTGTAATTCAGCAAACAGTGCTGGCAAATATACTTTTAACAGCGCCTTTAAGCGGGTGGTTTGGTTTCTCTCAGAGGAATGTTTGCTTCATGAAGTGCATTAATGCACAAAAGCCTTTCCTGTCTCCTGTGCTTATTGTTAGCATGACATTTTCTATCACATTCCCAATGTTTTGCGTATTTGTCTCCACTTTTCTTTAATCATACAACCATTAAGCACGGTAGAGAATTTGGAGTAGCTTTGCTGTGCAGCACAGCTAAATGGAGGCTATTTAGTAGGGATGCACGATATAATCGGCCCCCTATCGGTATCGTCCTTAAAACTGAATATCGGACATCGGCCACCCCACCGATATTTAACCCAATATTTGATCAGCTTCTGAGTTTCTAAAGTCTAAAAAATAAAAAATAAATACTACTTCCTCAAAAACTTCTTTTTTACAGACTTAAAAACTTCTAAAGACGAGGGAAAAAATATTGATACATTAAAATATCACAATATCTTCATATGCTGATATATTGCCATTTAAAAACACCATATCAATCTCTTTTACTAATGAAATATTGCTATATGTCATCGTTATGCTACAAAATCCCCCGAAAATTCACGAAATTTTGCCATATTTTTATATGTTGATATATTGACGCGGTATCGATCTATTTTACTGACAAAATCTCACAAGAATTTGCAAAATATCACGAGTTTTTAACAGAATGAAGAAATTTCACGAAATTTTGAAAGTAAAATAGATCGATACCGCGTTTTTAAAAATCAATTTGATATCAGCATATGAAAATATATTTGAGTATATTATTTTTCAGTGTCAGAAATGGATAACAAAACTGCTATTTTCAATGACTACTTATTTTTGTCCAGCTTTAACATCGGTATCGATATCGGTTATCGGCTACATGAGTTTTAAAATATCGGCATATCGGATATCGGCCAAAATCCCAATATCGTGCATCCCTACTATTTAGATTACTTTAATGAGTTTATCAAATGTTTGTATGTCGCCTTTAAAGGAAAAGTCCGGTCAGCAAGGAATGATCAATGGATCATTATTTATACCTAAAATGAATACGTTCACGTTTTTTTTATAAATTTAGCGTTAATCAGTAAAAAAAAAATAATAATAATAATAATTTTTGTCACCATCACTGAGTCTGGAAGCTTTAATAAATGGATAAACATATTTTTTATTTCTTTGTTGCAGATTGAGCGTTGCTACTACTTCCTCCATGCGTGTGTGGAGACGGCACAGAGGAAGGAGCCGGTAGACGGGCGCCTGGTCCAGTTTCTTCTCTCCAACCCGACCAATGATGGAGGACAATGGGACATGCTGGTCAATCTCATTGGTCAGACATAAATGAACACATTAATAAGAACGCATTAGAGATTAACGATACCAGTCTAACTGATCCTTCATGTTTGCTGCTGATATTTCTTGGTCCGATTCTTGCAACTCTTATTGCTTTTTATTCCTCCATTTAAATGATAAAACATGTTTTTAACAGTCTCAGTTTAAACAAAGAAAATCAAACCAAAATACTAGCAATTGGTAGCAGATTGAGGGAGCCGTCATTCATGGGCTTCCCATGATGTTAATGCATTGCTGCTGAATGCACTGTTGAATCGGTTAACGGATGCACATACAGACCAATACAAGGAATTAAAACACTAATATCAGCTAAAAGTATCGTCTGTCTGATGCACGGTCTATTTCTAAAACTATAATCTGTCTCTGACCCGATGCTGATTCTGTACCGGTTTGTTGTGTTCAGAGAAGTACGGCGTCATTCCAAAGAAGTGCTTCCCAGAGTCCCACAGCTCAGAGGCCTCGCGCAGAATGAACGACATCCTCAACCATAAGGTGGGATTTGCACGTTTCACTCGGTTTTCTGTTGGAATCAGATGATGGAACCTTCCAGTAAGTTTCCACTTCAATAAGACGGCTGTGCTTTGCTTCAGCTGAGGGAATACTGTTTGAGACTGAGGAACATGGTGGCCAGCGACGCTACGAAGACCGAACTGTCTGAGGCTATCGACACCATGATAGAAGAGGTGAGGCTCTCTCTTGTTTTTTTTGTTTCCTCTTCATGCTGATCGGTTCATAAGGAAATGAGGAATTGGGGTTTGTCTGTCTGGGGAAGTACAGACTCCATGTGGTTGCAGATCAGCCTGCATCGCAAAACACTCCTACCTTAATGTTTAACAGAAACAAATCATTGAAGCTGTGTGTCTGTTTTCTGCTGCTGATTTGTGTTTTACACAGCGTTTCTGATACATTGTTAAACCATATTTATAAAGAAAAAAACTGAGATTTATATGAACATTTGTTCATCTTAAAGGAATAGTACACCCAAAACATGATTAGCCTCCATTTTCTACTCACCCCCATGCTGAACAACACTCTGGAGTACTTTTTTGATATCTCAAATGCATCTGGAGATCTGGGAGGCTTCTTGCTGTCTGCTGACATTCAAATAATGGAGGTCTATGGCGCCCGAGGCAGAAAGGTCCATAAAAGTCCACAAAAAACGTGTCAATATTCCTCCATACTGCTCGTCCAATGTATTCCAAGTGTCCTGAGTGGGTAGCGTCCATAATTTACTTGAAACGAAGTCATTTAGAATGTTTTTAGAGCATAAACAGTAGTGTATAGGATTTCCTGAAAGCGCGCGCCTGCGAGTTCACGACGCTACGGAAGCCGGCAGACCAAACCAGATGAAAGTGCGCATTCAGCGTCTGCTCTGCCGATAATGCAAGCGTAGAAGAAGAAATGTGCTGTTTACCTGTGCAAAGAAAGAAACAACGAAAGAAAAATGTTTGAGGACTTCAGTGTTGAGGAAGAGCATGAGTTCTTTGCCGAGCTGAATGCGCACTTTCATCTGGTTTGGTCTGCCGGCTTCCGTAGACTCGTAAACGCGCTTTTAGGAAATCCTATGCACTACTGTTTATGCTCTAAAAACATTCTAAATGACTTTGTTTCGAGTAAATTCTGGATGCTACCCACTCAGGACACTTGGAATACATTGGACGAGCAGTATGGAGGAATATTGACACGTTTTTTGTGGACTTTTATGGACCTTTCTGCCTCGGGCGCCATAGACCTCCATTATTTGAATGTCAGCAGACAGCAAGAAGCCTCCCAGATCTCCAGATGCATTTGAGATATCATTGTTTGGGTCGAAATTACAAGTTTATTCAGATTTTCTCATCGTTAGTTCACGATGAGAACTAACGGTGATTTCTTGTTCTAATCTGCGTTGGTTCTGAAAGGAATATCAGAATGAGTTTTAGTTGATTTTAGACGTCAGACGGAAATCTGCTGGGACCGTTTTTATCTGGTTCGCTCTCTAGATATTTAAACTATAGCTGTTTCTCAATTCACAAGAACGCGAGTATGGACTCGTGTCCTCGCCAAGTATGTTCTTGACGAGAACACAGTAAAGTCTGGACTCTGGAAGAACGGGAGCACGCAGCATACAGTGCGGGAAATAAGTATTTGTCCCCTTACTGCTTTTGCAGGTTTGCCCACTTAGAAAGAATGCAACAATCTACAATTTTAATCATATGTACGTTCTAACAGTGAAAGACAGAATCCCAAAGAAAATTCCAGAAATTCACATCATATGAATTTATTAAAATTGATAACCATCTGATGAGGAAAAACAAGTATTTGAACCCCTGGACAAACAGCATGTTAATCAGCAAGGGGTCAAATACTTATTTCCCACACTGTAAATCTGGGCCAATTGGAACATAAGCATACTGATGACATCACCACATTCTCGGCTCGTCTAGAGCTGCATTTCACCTCCTGTTCTTAATCGTCTCTAGATAATAATAAATTCTTATTTTTTTCATTTAGTGGGGAAATAATAATGAACAGACCGATAAACACAAATCAAATGAACATTTTACCAAATAAAACAAAAAACTCGCAATCAGAGCCAGCGGTGCAGACAGAGTGCTGCTGCAGACGGGCTTACATTAGCCCTGGCTGCTGTTAGCCTCGGAGGTCTGCTAGTTGCCGCGGTCCTCTCAATTTCGGAATATTTTCTTTTTCAATATGCACTAAATCAATAAATGGGCCATATAGTGATGCTTAAAAGTATAATATTCTCACCTCAAATGATCTTAAAACATGCTTTTATTGAATAACAGCAACAGAAAAAAGTACTTTAAACTTCATACTCTGAGCTCTGCGAGCGCTCCATTGAAAGCTGCTGCTGCCGCAATGCATGCTGGGACAGCTGTAAATCTCAAGAACGGACAAGTCTGCTCTGATGCATGCTGGGTAAAGAGGGAGGGGCTAGAACGACATCCGTTCTCAGTCTGCTGTTCTTGTGAATTAGAACAGTACTAGGGCTGAGGCTGATGACGTTTCACGAGGACACGAGCATATGAGAACACATATTGAGAAATGGCCTATCCCTGTTCACATTCTTATGATCTAGTTTGATTTGTTTTTTATGTTTTACTCCTTTTTCTGAGGAGTCCAGTTTAGTCACGTTCGCAAATGTTTTGTCTAACAAATGTCTGGTTGATATGGAGTTAGTCTCAATTTTCACAAATACACATATGTGATTCATACATGCACAGGATGGAGGATGTGGGATCTGGGGGTCATTCTATATGGCTTACCTTCTTGTGATTTCTTGTGACAAGGGAGCTTTTGGCATTCCCTGCATAAAAAAATGCATTTGTGTATCGAGGCACGTCAGACGAGTTTCAAAAATCCACACACAAACACAGTTAAGTTTAAAGTCCTCTGTACTTTGTTAGTTAATTTATAATTGTTTATGGACCAGAAATACTTTGGTGAATCTTGTTCTGTGTATGTATAAATCACATATGTGTCTTTGTGAACGACGACTAGACTGCATTTTCTGGCGATGTAGATTATTTGCTCACATTTACGGAAGGAGACCTGAATTAAAATGGAAGCGTTTTCTTGGCTTAATAGAGAGTTTGAGCAGAGGAAGAAATGCCAGATTTTAAACATTTTAAACAAACCAAAGCAGGAATATTAAACATGCATTTCAGTAACCAGAGTGGATTTCATGATGGGAGAAATGGATGGTATGAGTTCATAAAGGCAGTTCATAGGCCTGTCATGATAACACATTTTACTGGATGATAAATTGTCTGAGAAATTAACCCAATAAACAATATCATATTTTCCATTGGGTTGAATCCAGAGTTCTCCCACTTACATTCGGCTTTGAAACCAAATCCATCTCTGTTTTTGTAGCATTCATTTGGCTCGCTGCTCCTCAGTCATGGGGCTCTTACGCTGCAGCCGCTACGCTAAGGAAACAATAAGTAGAGGGGTGAGTGAAAGCTGATGCTCCGCAGGGAAACCAGTCATCCAGACTCTTTAGAAGAAAAAGAGGAAGATCCAAACAGACAAGCACTCATTTAAATTTAGCTTGTGAATAAATTGGTTTTAGTTCTAGTATCTGAACATTTATCTAAATCTAGATAAGGGGCTCAGAGGCTGCAGGTTGCAGATTTAGTTTGATTGAAGCTAATATTGCATTTTAATAAATTGCATATTAATATTCAGATCAGTCTGATGTCACAAAAAGAAAATATTGGTATATCCCTTCCTAGAGCTAAGATGTCTGAAATCAAACATAACATTAACGATGGAAAATCAATGGGGGTGCATCAGTGCATGCGCACCATGCAACCCCAAGACAGGGCTGCTAAATGCAGTGAGGAATCTGCGAATGCATGCACCTATCAGCCAAACCCAATACAGGGAAGAAAAACACTGTAAAATGTTTCCAAGTTTGAAGACATTTTGCTTCCCATCAAGGAAGCTTGTTCGATTCAAAAAGTTAGAAATAGTAAGTTGAGTTCAAGGCTTTATACAGCCGCCCAACAAAGCTTCGGTTTTGTTTTAATGACAAGCAAATTGAGACAGATGAAGGGGTCCACCCCTTTGGAATGGGGGTGGTTTAGCTTCTTTTTTTAGCCTGCAATGCCCCATACCTTTCCGTATTTTCACGACCATAAGGCGCACCGTACTAAAAGGCGCAGTCTCAGTTATGTGTGCCATTTCTGTATTTAACACACACATAAGGTGCACCGGATTATAGGGCGCGTTTTTTATATACTGTTACATATCCTCTACTACGTTTAAATAGCTCTACTGCGTATTTAAAAATAGAGCGGGAGCAAAACTGAGGATGACTGTGCTTTATTCATGTATTTATTACAAAGTATTAATCAAACCCTTCAAAGTCATCATCCTCTGTTTCTGAATTAAACAGCTGTGCTAAATCAGACATGCCAATTTCCCCTTCTTCGCTGTCAGTCACTTTCTGTGCCGTACGGCTCCCCGGAAATGATGCCGGCTTTTGCGAAAGCTGGAACAACAGAGCAAGCAGACACGTTAGTCCAAGCATCAACAATCCATCCGCAAACTGTGGCGTAATTTGCCCGGCGCTGCCTTCCACTTTTTGTGAAACTGTGCTCTCCGTCGGTCATCCATCGCTCCCACGCCGCTCGCAGCCTTACTTTGAACGGCCGCTTCACACCGATGTGGAGCGGTTGAAGTTCCTTTGTCAGACCTCCCGGGATAACGGCGAGCACAGCGTTCATTTGATTCACCTTTTTTTTCACATCGGTTGTGAGATGGGCACGCATGGAGTCACAGATTAACAGCGATGGTGATGAGTGGAAAAAACCACCTGGTCTCCTTACATACACCTCCCTCAGCCACGCTTTCATCATCTCCTCATCCACCCAGGCCTTTTCATTTCCCTTAATAACGACTCCAGCTGGAAAAGTCTCTTTAGGCAAAGTCTTTCGCTTAAAAATCACAGTGGATTGTCTATAAAAGCACATACCTTTTCTTTTATAGACAATCCACGCCCACACTTCCCCCTTTAACGTTCTCATGGCGGTCTCAACAACGTCCGCAGTAACAACACACATAGGGCACAGCGCCCTATAGGGCGCGCCGCACATTTTGAGGGAAAAAAGACGTTTATATGCGCCTTATAGTCGCGAAAATACAGTATTTGCATGTTTTCTAAGCCAAAACA